AAGGAAGGAAGGAAGGAAGGAAGGAAGGAAGGAAGGAAGGAAGGAAGAAAGGAAGGAAGGAAGATATTTTTTGTGTCCCAAAGGTGCTTTTTCAAGAGGCAACTGGACTTTCTTGTTTTTCTTTGAAGTCCTTTCACTTCTCATCCAAGAAGCTTCTTCAGCTCTGCATAACTAAATGTCTGTGGAGATTCTCAGTCATCCAGGTCATGGTTGTTCCAAAGATGCTTTTTCAAGAGGCTCAGAGCTGAAGAAGCTTCTTGGAGGAGAAGCGAAATGTCTTCAAAGAAAAACAAGAAAGTTCAGTTGCCTCTTGAAAAAGCACCTTTGGGACAACCATGACCTGGATGACTGAGACTCTCCATAGACATTTAGCTATACATTTATGTGCTTCACTTATCAGAGCCAAATTAAAGATGATGCTAAGCAATTCAGAAACATTCCCCAAACTTCCTTTGTTTAGCAACCTTAATATAGAACATTTGTTGCTCCTGTTAGATCATTAAATCTGAAAGCCACATGCAATTGAGAAGTTTGGTTCCCCAAATGCCAAGATTTCTTAAAAATTAAAACAGGGAGTAGGCATTTGTTTATTTTATTTTTTGTTTATTTGTTTATTCAAATATTTTCTCCCATTCCTTAGCCTCCACCACTCCTGGGATGACTCACGGTTGCCATGGACTCGATGCTAGCAAGACAGTCTCTGTCAGATGATTTAAATTTCTAAAAGGAGCAACACAAAAGGAAAAAAAAAATGGAGGGAAGGGAAAGCAGCAAGTTCCAGTTGTAGTTTTTTCGAACTGAAATAAATCCTTCTTATGATGATCACCTGGTGATATTTCAGAGAAAAGCTTGATTCCATATCAATATGGTTGAGGAAACACTTTTTTCTCTTATATTCATTACTGTATTAATGTTGATTGTATTTTGTTGGAACATGTGTAATTTGTATTTTATCCCAGGGTGAAACATCTAATCCTGGTGGATCCTTGGGGCTTCCCCACACGACCATCCGATCCAGCTCAGGTCCGTACTGCTCCAACTTGGGTTAAGGCTGTAGCTACCGTGTTGGGACGGTCCAACCCTCTGGCTGTCCTTCGAATTGCAGGACCTTGGGGTGAGTTAAGTTTTGAATCAAATTTGGCAAGAGTTCAGAGTGGTGTTTCTCAACTTCAACTTGAATGTGGAATAGAGTGTGGAGAGTGGAGTGGAGCGGAGTGTGGAGTGGAGTGGAGTGGAGTGGAGTGGAGTGGAGTGGAGTGGAGTGGAGTGGAGTGGAGTGGAGTGGAGTGGAGTGGAGTGGAGTGGAGTAGAGTAGAGTAGAGTAGAGTAGAGTAGAGTAGAGTAGAGTAGAGTAGAGTAGAGAAGAACAGAACCTTGGAAATCTTTTAGTCCAGCCCCCTGCCCAAGCAACCTATACCATTTCACATAAGTGACTGTCTAATCTCTTCTTAAAAACATTCAGTAATGGAGCGCCCACAACTTCTGGTGGCAAGCTGTTCCACTGGTTAATTGTCCTCACTGTTAGGCAGTTTCTCTTTCATTCCAGGTTGCTTCTCTCCTTATTTTCCAACCATTGTTTCTTGTCCTGCCCTCTGGGACTTTGGAGAATAGGTTGACTCCCTCTTCTTTGTGGCAGCTCCTCAAGTACTGGAACACTGCAATCATGTCACCCCTAATTCTTCTTCTTTTTTTAGACTAGCCAGACCCTGCAGCTTTTCTTCATATGTTTTAGTCTCCAGGCCTTTGATCGTCTTAGTTGCTCTTCTTTGAACTTTTTTTTTCAAAATTACCCAAAGAATAATGTGAACCCCCCTCTTCTTTGTGGCAGATGTGTTTAGAGTATCCAATTGTTTTTTAGGTCCTGGACTAGTCCAGCGTTTCCGTCCAGATTTTAAGCAGAAGTTTGCCAATTTTTTTGACGACGATACCATCTCTGAATACATCTACCACTGCAATGCCCAGACGCCAAGGTGAGGAAGGCCCCAATCCATCAGTGTGCCATTCTGGTTCGCTGTGATACCAGCAAGAAGCATCCTATTTGAGTTGTGGCCACAGAGGACTAGACAGATCTCAGTCTAATAGCCGTGAAGATAAGTGTCATTGACGAAGGTGATAAGCCAATGAAACATTAATACTGGTAGCCAAGTGATTATGACAATTGAGACCAAAAATATTGTTGCTAAGTATTCTGACCTAGGCTTCCCAAGATCATGAAACATAATCCTCATCCCTACAAAATCCCTTATATTTAGTTTAAAGGGAATTCCTCTCCAGCAAAGTCCCAGAAAACAGTCAGTCTATCATGAGATTTCACAACTACAGACCTTTTATCTGGCTTGGAGAGTTGCCAGGCTGATATCTTCCAAACGCTACAATGTAGCAGCAATTACTTGGCAAGAAATCAGGAACAGATCTTCACCCTAATGAATTAAACTGTCTCCTGCAAACACCACTCCCCTTTTGCTCCTCTATTCCCTATAGGAAGGGCCATTCATCATCCACCTGAGCCTTTACTCCCAAGTCGACCCTTGTTCCTTAACTGTTCCCTTCTCCTGGCAGCTCTGTGCATTGAGAACAAGACTCCAGCTGTTCTTCTGCCCCACTGATCTCTGACTCCGAAGGCAGCTGATAACTGTCAGATGGCCCTGGCCCCATCTCTGCCTCCGATGCAGAGCACTTGTCAGAGCCTTCCCCAGACTCCAGGAGTGGCCCATGTTCCTCCCCAACCACCTCATTGTCTGAGTCTACCGCCAGCTCTGCTGGCGGGCCACAACACCAGGTGAAATATTTCTTAAGTGACTTTGCCCCATTTTATGACTTTTCCTGCCAGGTTTGTTAAGTGAATCATTGCATTTATTAATTTAGTCACATTTATTAAGTTAGTTGTTAAGTGAATCTGGATTACCCATTGACTTAGCTTGTCAGGCGGTTTCAAAAGGGGATCGCATGATCGTGGGGCACTGTGACCATCATAAATGTGAGTCAGATGTCAAGCATCTGAATTTTGATCATGTGACCCTGGGGATCCTGCAATGGTTGTAGGTGTTTATAAGTCACATTTTTCAGTTGTAACTTTGAACAGTCACTAAATGAACTGTTGTAAGTTGGCTTGACTTACGTCTGGTCACTTAAATGACCTTTCAAAGTTACAGTCTGGATTTGAAGGGTTTTCTCCCTCCTCCCCATGGTCACCAAGTTCATGTTGGGCACCTGGCAAAGCAACAAATGTGATGGTAGCCATTTGCACTGTCCTACGGTCATGTGGCTGCATTTTATGATGATTTTGTCCAAGCCCATCACTTCTCATTTTTGGCAAATGATTGGTCCCAGAGGTGGTATTCAGCAGGTTCTGACCAGTTCTGGAGAACCAGTAGCAGAAATTTTGAGTAGTTCGGAAAACCGGCAAATACTACTTCTGAGTGGCCACACCCCACATCTATTCTCTGCCTCCTGAGACCCAGCTGATCGGCTGGGTCTTCTTTGGTTGCCCTGCACAGGAGAATGGAGCTGGAAAGCAGGTTATTGGGGTGGGGAGTATTCTTCCTCTGGAGTGGGGTGGGAATAGAGATTTTACAGTATCCTTCCCCCGCCACACCCACCAAGCCATGCCATACTCATCAAGCCATGCCCATAGAACTGGTAGTAAAAAAAAAAATGAATCCCACCACTGGTTGGTTCACTCCACAAGTTTAACAACACACACACAGACACACAGACACACACACACAAAAGGTAAAACGAAATTAGTCATGTGATGGACTTGTTTTATGACTGCTATGGCTGATTAGCATAATGGACAGGTTCCATTATGGTCGTAACCCGAGGACTACCTAGTAGAAATGCAGGGGAGGTAGCATTCTCCAAATTTCCACTAAGTGGATGCAATGTAAAATATTTCAGACTCCCCCATTACACTAAGTCAGAGGTATCAAACTCGAGTTCATTGAGGGCCACGTTCAGGATTCTGTTTGACCTCAGGCGGCCCCGGTGAGCATTGCCAGGGTGGGCGTGGCCAGCATGACATCACTTGTGCCAGGTAGGAGGGGTTGTGGTGGCCCAAGCACACTGCCAGTGAAAATGTGCTCCCAAGCTCCGTTTTCTGCTGTAATAGCCTCCTACAACCCTTTGTCAGTGAAAACTGAGCCCGGGAGGCCTGTGCGTGGCCTTCGCAAGCTCCATTTTTTGCTGCCAGAGGCACCGCGGGCCAGTCCTTTGCTATTTCCTGTTTCCGTGGGTCAGATCTAAGCACCTCACGGGCTGGATCTGGCCCCCGGGCCTTGTGTTTGACACCCCTATACTAAGTGAAGGTCAGGCAGTTATTAATTATCATAGAATCATACAGCTAGAAGGGACCTTGGTGAGGAGTCTTTATATCATTCCAGACCAACGGTTGTCCAACCTCCAAACCTCCAACTGTGGGAGGCAAAATGATGTAATTTATATCCTTTCTTCTTGTTCCACATCAGTGGGGAGGCAGCGTTCAAGGCCATGACTGAATCCCTAGGATGGGCCCGCCGTCCCATGTTGCAACGCATCCACATGATCCGGCGGGACCTGCCCATCACCCTTATCTATGGAGCCAACTCCTGGATTGACACCAGCACTGGGGAGAAGGTCAAGTATCTACGGCCAGGATGCTACGTTAAGGACATGGTAAGACCTTGGCCCAGAGAATGGGGCTTCTGCAAATATGGACGGAATAAAACACTCTCTCTCTCCCTCCCTCTCCTCCTCTCTCTCCCTCCCTTACTCTCTTCCTCCCTCTCATTCTCTCCCCCCTCTCTCTCCCTCCCTCCATCTCCCTCCCTCTCTTTCTCCCTCTCCTTCTCTTCCCCATCTCTCCCTCTTTCCCTCCCTCCATCTCCCTTCCTCTCTCTCCCTCCCCTCTCTCTCCCTCTCCCTCCCTTTCTCTCTCCCTCTTTCTCTCCCCCTCTCTCCCTCCCTCTCCTTCTCTCTCTCTCTCTCTCCTTCCCTCTCCTTCTCTCCCTCCCTCTGTCTCGCTCTCTTTCTCTCTCCCTCCCTCTCTCCCTCTTTCTCCCGCGCTCCCTCTCTCTCTCCCCCCTCCCTCCCCTTCTCTCTCTCAATGTATGTATATATGTATGTGTGTATACAGATAGTCCTCGACTTACAGCTATTTGTTTAGTGATCGTTCAAAATTACAGCACTGAAAAACATGACTTAAGACAGCTGTTCATGCTTATGACTGTTTCAGCCTCTCCATGGTCATGTGATCAGAATTTGGCCGCTTGTAATTTTGATGACTGTGGTGTCCCGGGATCATGTGATCACTCTTTGCAACCTTCTGATAAGCCAAGTCAATGAAAAAGCCAGATCCAGTTAACAATTGTGTCACTAACATAAAAACTGTAGTGATTCTCTTAACAACTGTGGTCGTGAAATGGAGCAAAACTTACAACTGTTTTGCTTAGCAACAGAAATTTTGGTCTCAAGTGTGGCCATAACTCAAGGGTCACCTTTATGCATCTCTTTGTTTTAATTCAAGGTGCTAGTCCTTATGGCTTTTGAGGTCTCGTGGCACAATTTCCATGTGGTTGCTGTGGTCCTTATTTATTTGTTATAGCTATGCACCATTTCTCTAGGAAATCTCTGGGTATAAATATTGTTCAGTAGAAGATTAGCAATTGATTAATTGATTAGCAATAATAATAATTTATTAAATTTATATGCTGCCTGACTCCCAGCAATGCTGAACAGAGATTTATGTTTTTACAGCTCTCTTAGAGACTTACAATTAACATTTACAGGAAATTTAATATCAGTAAGGATGCAGCGGCTCAGTGGCTAAAACACTGAGCTTGTCAATCAGAAAGGTCGGCAGTTCAGCGGTTTGAATCCCTAGTGCCGCATAACGGAGTGAGCTCCTATTCTTTCTCCCAGCTTCTGCCAATCTAGCAGTTCAAAAGCATGTAAAAATGCAAGTAGAAAAATAGTGACCACTTTGATGGGAAGGTTATAGCGTTCCGTGCACCTTCGGCGTTTAGTCATGCCAGTCACATGACCACAGAGACATCTTCGGATAGTGCTGGCTCTTCGGCTTTGTAATGGAGATGAGAACCACCCCCTAGAGCCAGAAATGACGAGCACATATGTGCAAGGGGAACCTTTACCTTAACCTTTAAGGATAAGTAAAGTCAGAGAGACTGAAATCTTTTTAATATTTTTTATTAATTATTGATTTTCTATTAAATACATTTCTTGGTGCTTAATAAACATTGTGTTGTCTGGGTATCTAATTTGCTTAACAACAAATTACATTCTTAACCTCCACCCTTTTTTCCCAACCATTGGTAAAATAAATTCCATGTTTGATAGTATTCTACATCCTCTGAAGACTGAAAATCTTACGGGCTGTGATAGGTGATGTTATCTCATGGATCTTGGTGGCTCTCTGGGTGACTTGGCCAGCATGGATGAATTAATCAAACAATTGGGAGTCCACCATTGCGGGAAGACTGCTAGTCCAAAAAAGCTATCCATGAAAATAGTTTCTGAGACTATCAAAAGTATATTTTTCTTAATTACATCCTATGGAGCTCAAGATTGTGGGTATCAATCTTTTCTGGTAATGCTCCTCTTCCCACTCTTGCAAAAATGCAGGTAGTCCTCAACTTGTGACCACAATCGAGCCCAAAGTTTATGTTGCTAAGTGAAAACTGTTAGAGTTTGCAGCAATCCAACCAGCACACATTAAAGAATTCAGCAGGATTCATTTATAAAAGAAACTTCTTTATATAACAACAGTACAAAACAGGATGCATGTATACGATACCCATGCAGCAGAACTCAGAATCCAGAAGCAAAGAATGTGCACAGAATCAATATAATATAGAGGCTATATTGCAAGGACAAAGCAACTCATATATACAAATCAGTCAAGCTAAGACACTCCCAGGCTCCGAACTGTCTGGGTCACCAAACAGTCCCCATTGGCTGACTTGTTACCATATCTATTCCAATTCATGAACTGTCATACACAGACAAAATCTTGGTTAAATGAGTTTTGCCCCATTTTACGACCTTTCTTGCCACACTTGTTTAATGACCCTCTGCGGTGGTTAAGCTGGTAACCCGGTGGTTAAGTAAACCTGGCTTCCCCATTGAATTTGCTTGTTAGAATGTCACAAAAGCAGATTCTGTGACCCTCTAGGACATTGCGACCATTGTAAATACGACTCCGTTGCCAAGTGTCTGAATTTGGATCATGTGACCGTGGGGACGCTGCAACGGTCATAAGTGTGAAAAAAAGGCCACAAGCTGCATCTTTTGCTGCTTTGTAAGTTTGAATGGTTGTAAGACAAGGATATCCTGTAGATGTCCAGCAGTCTTGCAAGATTTGTAAGCAAAATAAGAGCTCTGTCTAGAACAGGGAGTGTCAAACTGGATTTCTTTGAAGGCCGGATCAGCATTGTAATTCTTCTCCGCGGGGCGGCGGGAAGGCAGGCGGGAGGGAGATGGGATGAACACCTCCTGCAGCATCCTCTTGGCCAAAACGGGGCATGGGCCCGGTTTTCGGCCTGAACGGCCTCCTGCAAAACTTTACCAGCCAAAATGGGGTGTGGGAGGGCTGCACTCTCTCCCGCACTTCGTTTTTGACTTCCATGTCCTCCTGAAGCACCCTGCCGGTTGAAAACGGACTGAAAATGGGCCATGGGCTGATCCTTTTATATTTCCAGGCTGACCCCGCAGATTTAAGCATCCCAGCAAGCCAGATCAGCCTTGAGTTTGCCACCCCTGGTCTAGAATTGTACAGCTAATTCTCATCTTATGACTGGCCTGGTCATTTAGCTTATGACAGATCTCCCTGGGGGTACTTATAATCCAGTTCTGATAGCAGCCTCCCCTCCCAATCATGTCAGCCCCTTAGCAATCCGCAATGCATTAATGGCTGTTTGCAGTGTCCTGCACTAGAATAACACTGATGATGTTACCTAGTTTGGTAGTAAAACGTCTGCAAGGAAACAACCAAGCTCAGAGCAACAAGGACCCCTCATTTCAACCCTCATCTACAAACATTCCCCTTTATTGTAAAAAAAAATATGCCTGTAATCTAGATATGTGGTTATAATATTTTAGATTTTATACTTCATATTTTCTATTTTCACCTCTGGAAGTCTATAGAGATTCTCAGTCATCTAGGTCATGGTTATCCTGAAGATGCTTTTTTTTTTCAGGAGGCAACTGGACTTTTCTTATTTGCTTGTTTTTCTTTTTTCTTTGAAGACATTTCGCTCCTCATCCAAGAAGCTTCTTTAGCTCTGACTGGATGATGGGGAGTGGAAGGATTTATATTCCTAGATCCTTCCAATCCCCACCATCTAGTCAGAGTTGAAGAAGCTTCTTGGGTGAGAAGTGAAACATCTTCAGAGAGAAAAAACCCAGAAAAGTCATAGCATAAACCTAGACTAATGGCAGCAAATTTGGGACCGGAATAAAAAGATCACGCTAGCCATATCCTTCAAGGAAAATTTGCTTAAGATGTTTTATAGGTGGCATCTTCCACCAGCCAGGTTAGCAAAAATGTATGTTTCTCATTTGCCCATATGTTGGAAATGTTTGAATGAAAGAGGTACCTTTTATCATATGTAATGGGACTGGAAAAATAATAATACAGGAGTTCTGGCACAAAATTTGGATATGGCTGGAAGAAGTGTTGGGTCTAAAAATTAACTTTATAGCAGAGATGTTTCTATTAGGAATAATAACAGAGAATTTTAGTAAAGCAGATATCTACTTAATTATTCATGTAATTACAGTGGCAAGAATATTGCTTGCCCAAACTTGGAAGTCAAAAGAAATTCCAAATGATGAAGCTATAATAGATAAGATTTGTCAATGCATTGAATTGTATAGTTTGACACTAGAATGGAAAGAACGAGGCAAATCAGAATATTATAAAGTGTGGAACAATTTCTATGTGATATGAAAGGGACATGAAAGAAAGTCTATAAATGAAAAGTACAATTTAAGATGTAATTGAAATACAGCACAAGATTAAGATCTAAAATGGTATAAAGATTAAATGTAAATATGTATGTGTGTGTGTGTGTGTGTGTGTGTGTGTGTGTGTGTGTGTGTGTATGTATATATATGTATGTATGTATGTATGTATCCCTATATTTCTTATTGATTTTTTTCTTAGTGTAAAATGTTAAGGCTGAAATGTATTTCAAAGACAGTCTACCACGTTCAAGACTTTTTAATGTTTATTTTCAATAAAAATTTAAAAACAAAACAAGAAAAGGCCAGTTGCCTCCTAATAAAAAACCACCTTTGGAACATTTTCACCTCTGGTGTTTCTATCGAAATGCGATGGGAATGGGCCATATGATAAATACATATATCTCCAGCTGAGCATGATGCCTTCTTCCTCTTTTGTCCTGCTCCTCTAGGCCATCCCTGGAGCCTCCCACCACGTCTATGCTGACCAACCCCGGGCCTTCAACGCCACGGTGGAACGAGTTTGCGACTCTGTGGACTGAACACCCGAACCAGAGTGAAAAAGTAGCTCTTATATCCAGCCACCTTATCGCTCAGCTGCGGGGAGACGCAGAAGGCACCCACCACTTCCTGTGCCCCCCCGGGGAGCCAAAACTGAAATCCCTGTGGATCTAACTACACATGGATCTCTGGGGATCTCTGCTATCCAGCCTGCACTCCCTCCTTCCCTCCCTATTCCCTCGAATCATCTTTCTACTTAAAGGTTGCAGATCGCCTGTTTTGGGTTAATCCAAGTCTAACCGTTCTATTTTTTTCCTTCGGCTAATGTTTTGATCTTGGTTTGATTTACACCACATCCTCACGTTCAACACTGGTTCCTTGTGCTGTTGGTTCCAACTACAATCCCCGCTCCCAATTTTATTCCTCCTCCTGATTTTCCTTCATCCTACCTGTGATCACTCCTTACCTTTGTGTATTTCAAAGGCAAACCTATGATTGGATTCTGCCGGAAAGCTATTTTGAATCTCTATGACTACCTTGCTAGATGATGCTAGAATCCTTCTCTTGGATCCTTGGTGCCTTTGGGGGTAAACTCTTAGTTGCAAAATATATTTATATAGATGGTTATTTAGGTGGTCTTCAGAAGCACTTGGGAAATGGAGGATAATATTCTGTAATTTTGAGGTGATGCCCAAAAATCAGATATATTGTAGAGAGATAATGAGAGAGACTGAGATCCTTTACCATGATGTCCACACCTCATTTCTTTCTCATGCATGATGTGGCCTTACCTATTTCCCAGGTTATATCCCCCTAACCTGAAAAACAAAGCTTGATCCCAACTTAAGATCCAAGAAGTGTGTGTAAATTCTCTTCGGAATGTGCAAACTGGGTAAAACTGAAGTGGCTTTGAACTCAGAGTATTTAGCCTTGAACCACCAAATATTTATTTTTATCTTTGAGTTTCCCCAGCTCTTCAGGACTCTTTTGTACTTGGTGAAGAACATATTTTGAGCCCAGCTCATTCCCAAAATAATTGAGGGAACCTGACCTCCATCTGACCCATAACTGTGTGAGAGGGGTGTCAAAGACATGTCATGTCGGCGTCACATGACATATTGGGACTTTTTTCCCTTTCACTATACCAGGCATGGACGTGGGCATGGATGTGGCCAGCTCGTGACACATCTGGCCTGCGGGCTGGGAGTTTGACAGCCCTCCTCTATGACGTTTTTCTTCTCCATAAGATACATAGTTCTATTTCCTTGGAAGTGTGAATCACATCCAAGCTTGATGGGAGATCTTTTTTCAGGACCGTGTCTGTAATACCGTTGAAAAACAGGTGTTGTAGTGCAAATATGACCAGGGAGTGTAGGACACTGTTTGAATCGCACTTGACTGACTTCCCAACAGTACCATCTATGGAATTACCCTTTGTACTAATTTTGTATGTTTATTAAAATAAAACGATTGCTTAAAAACCCTTGGGAAATAATAGTCTGTGTCTTTGTAAAGCTTGGTGTGCTCTCTTCTCTGTTTTGGGTATGATGTCCCATTCTTCGGATTTAGTGTTTCTCAACTGTAGCATCTTTCAGATGTACAGCATAACAGAGTTGGACCAGAGTTGGAAGTACAGCATAACAGAGTCTTCTAGGCAGTCCCCTCTTCATACAGAAAACCCTATTACCATCAGACAAGTGGCTGTCCAGTCTCTTCTTAAAACCTTAAATGATGGAGAATAATTGGAGTAGAGAATAACCAGTGGGACATCTAGCCTTCAGAAGTTGTGGATACAACTTCTAAAGGCAAGACATTCCACTGGTTAATTATTCTCACTGTTAGTAAGTTTCTTCTTAGTTCTATGTTGCTACCTTGATTAGTTTCCATCCATTGTTTCTTGTCTTGCTTTCTAATGCTTTGGAAAATAATTTGACCCTTTCCTCTTTGTGACAGCGTCTCAAATATTGGAAGACTGCTATCATGTCAGTCCTAGTCCTTTCTAGGTTTGATTCAATCATATCTGTAAATTTACATTCAGAGGGATTGAATTAGAATTATTAGAATTGAAGTGGAAAGGAAAGGAATGGAATGGAATAGAACAGAACAGAACCTTGGAGGTCTTCTAATCCAGCCTCCTGCTCAAGCAGGAGATTCTACACTACTTCAGACCAAGGACTGTCCAGTTTCGTCTTAAAAACCTCCAGTGAAGAAGCACCCACAACAACGAAAGGCAAACTGTTCCCCTGGGTAATTTTCCTCACTGTTAAGAAGTTTCTCCTCAATTTCAGGTTGCTTCTCTCCTTGGATTAGTTTCCATCCATTATTTCTTATCCTGCCCCCTGGTCAGTGGTGGGATTCAATTTTTTTTTACCACCAGTTCTGTGGGCATGGTGTGGCTTGGTGGGTATGGCTTGGTGGGCGTGGCAGGGGAAGGATACTATAAAATCTCAATTCCCTCCCCACTCCTGGGAAAAGATTACTGCAAAATCCCATTTCCACTCCACTAACCTGCCTTCCATCTCCATTTCCCTGTGCAGGGCAACAAAAGAAGACCTAGCAGATCAGCTGGGACCTGGGAGGCAGAGAAGAGATGGGGGCGGGGCAGTCAGAGGTGGTATTTGCCTGTTCTCTGAACTACTCAAAATTTCCGCTACGGGTTCTCCAGAACTGGTCAGAACCTGCTGAATACCACCTGTGCCTCTGGTGCTTTGGAAAATAAGTTGACGCTTTCTTCTTTGGGACAGCCTCTCAAATATTGGAAGACTGCAATTATATTATCCCTAGTTCTTTTAATTAAACCAGACATACCTATTTTCTGCAATCGTTCTTCAAAAGTTTTTAGTCTCTAGCCCCTTAATCACCTTCATTGCTCTTCTCTGCACTCTGAGTCTCAACATACATGGCTGGCTGGGGAATTCTGGGAGATGAAATTTCTCCTAATTCCCAAGACATTGCTCCAGCATTGAATATAAAATAGCAACTCTGAAGGTATGTTATCACGTATGTGATATTAACACAATTGAGAAAGTCCAGAAGTATTTCACAAGAAGAGTTCTCCACTCTTCTACCCGTTGTAGAATACCTTATGCCACCAGACTCGAAATTCTAAAACTAGAAAACCTCGAATTACGCCGTCTTCGGTCCGACTTAAACATGGTATATAAAATCATACATTGCAATGTCCTACCTGTCAATGAATACTTCAGCTTTAACCATAACAACACAAGAGCACACAACAGATACAAACTCAAAGTAAACCGCACCAAACTTGACTGCAGGAAATACGACTTCAGCAATAGAGTGGTCAATGTCTGGAATACTCTACCCGACTCTGTAGTCTCTTCCCCAAACCCCAAAAACTTTAACCTTAGACTGTCTACTATTGACCTCACCCCTTTCCTAAGAGGTCTGTAGGGGGCGTGCATAAGCGCACCAACGTGCCTACCGTCCCTGTCCTATTGTTTCTCTTATTCTTTTATTTTTCTTATATGTACCCATTTCATATACTCACAACTATGTATACACTTGTACTTATTATCTTGTAAACAATTGACAAATCAAATAAATAAATAAATAAATAAAAAGGTTTAATAACCTTGCTGCTATTGTTTTGGCATTTCTACACATCCTTAAATTCATGACTGCCACCCACTGCCCATCTTCCGAAATGACAATCTTTAGTTATTGGAGATGACATACAACAAAGGTGTTTAAGATGTTGGATCGGGATGATTCTAGTTGAAATTCCCCCTCAGTTACAGAAGCTTGGGAGATGACTTCAGCCCAAGCATTCTTTGTTCCTGCCTACCTCACAGGGTTGTTGTGTCATAAAATGAGGAAAAATGCTTAGTATTGAACTTTTGGTTAAAAAGCCGGAATAAGAATTAAAACAAGGGCTGTTGTGGAAAAACTGTTTTGAAAAAAAAAGAGAATGGGCTGAACTTTAAATAGACTTTACCTGATCCGTGAGTGAGTTTCAACTTGTGGTTTACATCCCATGGTCATCCAATTGGATCACAACATAAATAACTACAATTTTAAATCAGCGTATCCCCTCTTGTAAAGGTAAATGTAAAGGTTCCCCTTGCACATACGTGTTAGTCGTTTCCGGCTCTAGGGGCCAGTGCTCATCTCCAAAGAGCCAGCGCTGTCTGAAGATGTCTCCGTGGTCATGTGGCCGGCATGACTAAATGCCGAAGGCACACAGAACGCTGTTACCTTCCACCAAAGTGGCCCCTATTTTTCTACGTGCATTTTTACATGCTTCTGAACTGCTAAGTTGGCAGAAGCTGGGGCAAGTAATGGGACCTTACTCCATTACGTGGCGCTAGGGATTCAAACCGCCAATCTTTCTGATCGACAAGCTCAGCGTCTTAGCCACTGAGCCACTGCATCCCTCTTGAGTAGACTTCAATTCCCAGCATTCTCAGCAATGGCTGTGCCGTCAGGGGAACTCTGGGAGCTGAAGTCCAAACACCTCTAGAATTTACCAAGGTGGAGAAACATTGACAGTAAATAATAAATCTAATAGATGTATGTCTTTAAACACATAAATGTCTTTTATGGGCAAAAGTTTGTGTTTTTTCTTCTTTCTTTTATGAGGAGACCCAGGCTTTTCAATCACTCAGTTGCTGGGATCTACTCCTATATTTATTTATTTATTTATTTATTTATTTATTTATTTATTTATTTATTTATTTATTTATTTATTTATTTGATTTGTCAATTGTTTACAAGATAATAAGTATAAGTGTATACATAGTTATGAATACATGAAATGGGTACATATAAGAAAAATAAAAGAAAAATAAAAGAAACAATAGGACAGGGACGGTAGGCACGTTGGTGCCCTTATGCACGCCCCCTAGAGACCTCTTAGGAAAGGGGTGAGGTCAATAGTAGACAGTCTAAGGTTAAAGTTTTTGGGGTTTGGGGAAGAAACTACAGAGTCGGATAGAGTATTCCAGACATTGACCACTCTGTTGCTGAAGTTGTATTTCCTGCAATCAAGTTTGGTGCGGTTAACCTTGAGTTTGTATCTATTGTGTGCTCTTGTGTTGTTATGGTTGAAGCTGAAGTATTCATTGACAGGTAGGACATTGCAATGTATGATTTTATATACCATACTTAAATCAGATCGAAGACGGCGTAATTCAAGGTTTTCTAGTTCTAGAATTTCAAGTCTGGTGGCATAAGGTATTCTACAACGAGTAGAGGAGTGGAGAACTCTTCTTGTGAAATATTTCTAGACTTTCTCAATTGTGCTAATATCAGATATGTAATGTGGGTTCCAGACTGATGAGCTATATCAGCTATATCATAGCTGTATCAGCTATATCAAAGGTTACAAACTTTTGAGGTAGACTGCTGAGGCTGCCTGAGGCTCCACCATCCCACAAAGTCCATAAATGTCACAGAAGTGCCCTTTTCCCCATCTTGTTGCTAAACCACAATTTGTGAGATGCTAGAAGGATCCAGAAGCCCTGATCATGCGATGTCACTGAATGCCCTTCATTGTGATCCAGTTGAAATGCAAATGACATGAAATCCAATTTGTAACTTGACTTCTCCCCCCTACTCCACTTCGTTTTTAGGGGACGGGTGGCTTCCAAGCAAATGATGACATCAGCAAGGGTGGGAGGGAGGGAAGGAAGATGGGTGGGTGTGTTTCCCCTTCATCTTATTTCCTTGTTTTTTTTCATTATGAGGTCAGACTGAGGGGGTGGGGGGTTGAAGGCCATCTCAAAGGCAGGACAAGCTGAAATTTCACCTATTACTCCAGGAAAAGCCCACAAGCCTTGGCCCAGGCGGCCACAGGGGCTGATGGGGAGCGTTCCTTCCCAAGTGGGGCTAAGCCAGGCTGCCTCCTGTGCCCCCAGAAGGCAAGAGAAACACCCCGAAGTGTTGGACTGCTGTTGGCCGAGGATCTGTTGTGTTGTAAGTGGTGGGAATCAATAGTGGGATTCTACTTTAGTCACTACCGCTTCAGTGGGTGATTGCGTGTATGTGTGCACATGCATGCGCCCCTAATGTGTGCACCCCTAACAAGCCAATCAGCTGAGAGGATGAAGAAACTAAAAACTAGGAACAACCCTCCCCCCTCTTCTATGTGCCTTTTGGTCTTTTATCCTCTCAGCTAATTATCAGTTAGGCCGAACAGTGATTTTTACTACTGGTTCTCCCAAACCGTGCCAAACCGGTAGCATACCACCACTGGTGGGAAGGGTGAACCAGATCAGTTCCCAATTCTAGGAGAAATGTTTATTTATTTATTTATTTTCAGAAGAGGTTGATCTGGGGAACTCACTACCCCAAGATTTAAGGGGAGAGATAAGTTACACGTCCCTTCATCTTTGTGAATTCTGATAGTTTAGTTATTCCTTTGTATTTATTATTATTATTTACAAGTAACTAAAGGGGGCGAACACAGCCAACACACATTCTGCCTCTTTTTTTCTCCACAATAACAACCCTGCGAGGTGG